TAATTTTTTTAAAAATATATTTTATTGATTTTATACAGAGAGGAAGGGAGAGAGATAGTTAGAAACATCGATGAGAGAGAGTCATCGATCAGCTGCCTCCTGCACAACCCCCACTGGGGATGTGCCCGCAACCAAGGTACATGCCCTTGACCGGAATCGAACCCGGGACCCTTCAGTCCCCAAGCCGACGCTCTATCCATTGAGCCAAACCGGTCCCGGCCTTTTTTTTTTTTTTTTTTTTTTTTTTTTTTTTTTTTTTTTTTTTAAATACCCTGTTTCCCCGAAAATAAGACAGGGTCTTATATTAATTTTTTTCTCCCAAAGTTGCGCTAGGTCTTATTTTCAGGGGATGTCTTATCTTTCCATGCGCTAGGTCTTATTTTCAGGGGATGTCTTATTTTCGGGGAAACACGGTATATCTTATTGATTTTTTTACAGAGAGAAAGGGAGAGGGATAGAGAGCTAGAAACATCGATGGGAGAGAAACACCGACCAGCGGCCTCCTGCATGCCTCCCGCTGGAGATGTACCCACACCCCAGGCACATGCCCTGGACCAGAATCAAACCGGGGACCCTTGAGTCTGCAGGCCGACACTCTATCCACTGAGCCAAACCGGTCAGGGCTACTTTTTTCTTTTTTTTTTAAATTGTGGTAAAAACATACACAAACATCGTAGGATTCAGTGTGACGCCAGTGGTGTTAACACACGGAGCAAACATTCTCCCCGTCTCTTACTCAGATGCCTGTGGGAACGCACCAGTGGGGAGTGAGGGGCACGGAGGTGCCTTTGCCCCCATCGTGACCCCAGATGGGTGGCCAACAAGGCTCTGGGGCCCCGGATTTTGAAACACACCCCTTCCCCCGTAACAGGACCCTTTGCTCCCAGGCTCCTCCATCCCCTTCCACCAAAGCGCGGTCCCCTCATCAAGCTGGGGGGAGGGGAGGGACGGGACGACACAGCCTTCTGGGGCTCCCGGACAGCACACCCCATCTCTGAAATGCCAAAAGGCCTTCGGGGCCCAAGGCTGGATCCTGGCCCCTAGATTCTGCGCCCTTGGACCTGGCGTCACCAGGGACAAGGCTCCGGCTCTCCCAGGACAACCCCCTGGTGAGAGGCAGGCATAGACTCAGAGTCCTCCCTGCTTCCCAGCGCCCTCAGCTCTCCTCACTCTCAGGAAGGGGTGGAGGGCGGCCAGCTGGGCCGGAAAAGAGTGGGGTTCTCTCTTGGGGTTGCCCCCAGTGAGCTGAGGGGAGGGGTGGCAGGTGGCAGGGCTTGTGAGGCTGCCAGACACACCCCAGCAATCCCGCCCCCGAGGGGCTTGGCCCGGCTTCATTGCTGAGCCCAGCACGAGCGGGACCTGCTCTCACGGATGCAGGCCCGCGGGCCTCCTAGGCTGGCGACAGGCCCGAGGAGACGTCAGGCCCGCGGTGCAGGTCAAACGGGCAGCACTGCCTGGCGGGGCCCAGGCTCCAGTTATCCGAAGGCAGAACCCAGCTGGCCCAGGAGGCAGAGGGCACCCTGGTGCCATGAGCCACGGTTGGGCGTCACCAGGCATGAACCAACATGACTGGGAGATGAGGGCGTGGACAGTGGGGAGACCCTCATCTGGACAGACAACGTCCCCTTACAAGCCAGCACTGACCACGTCCGCCGCCCGCCGAGCACCCCAACCAGCACCGAGTGTCAAGCCACAAGCCCGCGACACCTACTACTGCCTTCCCGCCAGCCAGCACGCTGCTGCCATCGCCAGGATGGAACGGGCTCCGGGGACTCGCGGGAAAAACCTGACAGCTCCGGAGAACAACAGGCAGAGGACAGGAGCAAGTGACCCACGAAATGCAATGGTCACTGAGTGCGTGAGAAAGCAGGGGTTCGGGTGCACCCTCGGCGGATGGCGCACGAGTGGAGAGCCCAGTGTCTCTCACACACACACACACACACACACACACACACACACACACGAGCCCGCTCCCAGAGGCCATGGGAGCCGTCAGCTCGCAGGACTGTCCTGGGGCAGGCGGTGGTTCGGGTTGGAAGGCTCATGGCCCTGCTGGGGGTAGCTTATCGCAGGAAAATGACCAGAGGCACGAACATGGGCGGGTTCGAGTGGACAGCACCAGGCGTCCTGCTCACAGGAGAGGAGACATGACCACAGCCTCCACAGGGTGCCGCGCCATGTATGAGTCCACCCGACAGTCCTGGGAGCCGGGGTACTGAGTAGACTTTATCCCGGGCGTGTCCGTGAGGGCTTCCGGATGAGATTAAAGATTGAACTGGTGGGCCCACTGCGGGAAGCCAAGGTGTGGGTGGGCCTCGCCCGGTCAGTTGAAGGTCCGGATAGACCCAGAGGCTGACCCTCCCGAGTATGAGAACACCCCTCGTGCTGACTGCTGAGCTGGGACACCAGCTGCCCTCAGAGGGGAGCTGCCATCGCTCTCCTGGGTCCAGCCTGCTGACTGCACGTCCTGGACCGTCAGCCCCACAATCATGACCCAGTGCCTTATAATAAATGCCTCTCTCTTCTCTCTATATGCGCCCTACTGGTTCGGTTTCTCCGGAGAAGCCTGGGGGCACACCCAGTCGTGGGTGCCTGCTTCCTCCTCCTTGTGCCTTCAAAGTCTCAGACGGAGGAGCCCCTGCTAAGTGTTTGGTGTCAGGACCCCCACCCCAGCAGCCAGGTGGTGTCAGCCTGCAGCCAGGCCTCCCGCCTGGACATTCCCTGCACCGAGACCAGCTCCAGACAGGACTGACGGAGGCTGGCCATGCCGGGTTGTGCTCTCGATCCCCATGAAGATGGAGAAGACGAGACAAGGCACTCTTCTGGGGATGCGTGTTGAGTTTGGGAATTTTCCAACAAGGAGAGATGCAGGAGGAAGCTGGCCTGAGGCCCTGGAGGGAGGGCAGGCTGGCCAGGAGGAGGCAGGACTGGGCTGAGAGTGGGCAGTCGCCTGGAGGACATGGGGAGACAGGCAGACAGGTCTCCCACGATGCCCCAAGAAGGGCTGCACAGACAGAGAAAACCAGGAGGTGGTCAGGAAAGGAAGAGAGGCCCCCAGGAGCCCAGGGGGTGGGGTAGGAGTCCTGAAAGTCAAGAGCTTTAGCCGGGGCGTGTCCAGATGAGAATGGTCAAGAAGGTCAAATGCTGCGGAGGGCAGAGAGATGACAAGGCCTGTGGGCTGGGGAGACCCAGGGCCCGGTGGCAGGCGCTGGTCCAGCAGAAGGAGACATGGAGGCCACAAAGTATGTCCCTAGCAGGTGCCCCTCCTTCGGACACCGTGGCCCTCCCTGGGTGACTCTAGCTGGGTCTGCCTCCAGCCAGAGCTCAGCTCTGGATAATCTCTCTAGTCCAAGGTTCCAACTACACCCCACTCCCCAGCCTGGAGTGGAGCCTGTGTCTGGGATGGTCCCTCTAGTGCTGTGAGGTACCCTGACTAGCGCTTGCACACCTTTGAGGGCTCCTCCCTTAGCCCCCGGGACATGCAAGGGCAGAGAGGAGCAGACAGCTGTTCTGAGGGCGCTCCCCTCTTGCTGGGCAGAAATAAAAGATGCTCCTGAGGGGGAGGGGGAGGGCTCTGTCAAGATTCTGGAGTTCCTACAGCCCTCTCCCCAGGGTGGGCTGGAGCAGGGGACTGTCCAGCAGGGAGTGAGGGCAGAGGCGGAGCCGCAGCAGCAAAGGTACAGGTGGAACTTGACACCCAGGACTTGGCTGCTGACGCCACGCTATGTGCAGGAAGCCAGTGGCTCCATTGCTGTGGGACCCCCAACATCAGCAGGGTTTCTGGGCTCCCTGCTCCCGGCCTCACCTCTCCTCTCTCACCACCCTCTGCAGCACCTGCTTAAGGAAGATTTTTCTACAAGAAGCAGGTCCGGCCACCTCTGCAGATGATTCTCTGGGGGCTGTCGGTGGCCGGTGACCGTGCACCCTGGCGCAACCGTCCATCCCGACAGAAGGGTCTGTCTGCACGAAGGCCTGAGAGCTGCCTGCCTCCCCAGGGTGGTCACTGCTGGGTGGCTTCGGGTGAGCTCTTTGACCTCGCTGTGCTGGTCATGTCGCAAACCCCAGAAAACGGAGCGCAGGAAGACCAGGGGTGCAGGGAGGCGCAAGGTCACGACTGGGCCACGCGCCCCGATCCTGGGGGTGAGGAGATGGAAAGTCCGTCCTATCCGGTTGGTCGCGGCCAGCAGGCTCGGCGCGGGGAGACAGGGGCTGCAGATGGTCCACGCTCATCCGGCCCAGGCGGCCCGGCGCGCTCCCGCTCCGCGCGCTCCGCGCGCTCCGCGCGCTCCCCCCGCCCCCGCCCCACCGCCCGCACCGTCCCGGGGTCGCTTTGAGAGCAGATTGGCAGGCCGGGCGGCGAGCTAGAGCCCGCCGCGCCCCGCCCCGCCTCGGGCTCGCCCCCACCGCGCCGGGACCTCGCCCGGACCTCGCCCGCCGGGGACTCGCCTCCTGGCGTCCAGCTCCCCCGAGCGCTCGCGGCGGCTGGGCACGCGGAGGAGGGGGCGGCGGACGCGGGCGCCGCTGATTGGCCAGACCCGCTGATTGGCAGGTGGGGGAGCCACTCGCAGCCGCAGCCTCTGCAGCGGGCTCCGCTCGTTAGGGCTCGGCTCCGCTCGGGTCTGCTCGGCTCGGCTCGTCTGCTCGGCCGCGGACCGACTGCCGGGCGTGCGCTGGAGGCGCGGGGCGCGGGGCGCGGGGCGCGGGGCGCGGGGCGCGGGGCGCGGGCCTCGGCGGCGGCGGCGGCGGCGGCGGAAGCCTAGTGCCCCCGCCCGCCCGGTCCTCTCGCAGAGGCGGAGGCGGTGCCGCGGGCCGCTGCGGAGCGGGGCGCGGGGTCGGCGGCGCGGGGAAGAGCGGGGGCGCGGAGCGAGCGCGGCCCACCGGGCACCGCCAACCCGGCTCGGCAGACGGACGGACAGACGCGGACCGACGCGGCCCCTCCCTGCCGCCGCCGCCGCCCGCCCGCCCGGGGCGCCCACTCGCCGGCGCCAGGCCCGGGAGCGATGACATCGACGGGGAAGGACGGCGGCGGGGCGCAGCACGCGCAGTATGTGGGGCCCTACCGGCTGGAGAAGACGCTGGGCAAGGGGCAGACAGGTGCGTGCGGGCAGGGCCGGGCCCGGGGCTGGAGAACCGGGCGATGCGGGGGGCCGGGGCCCGGGGTCAGAAGGACCTGGGGCACCGAAGGGGACCGGCAGCGCCGCGGGGTTGGGGAGGACCGGGACCGGGGAGGAGCGGGTCACCGGGGCATCCGGGAGGACCGGGGGCGCCGGGAAGGACCGGGGCTCGGGAGCGCACAGGCCCGCCACAGCCGGGGAGGCCGTGCTGACGGCGCCCGCGGGGCCGGGGAGGAGGCCGCCGGGTGCGGTGCCGCAGGCCTGGCCCCGCTCCTGCGGGCGGGCGGGCGGGCGGCCGCGAACAATGGGCGGCCGGACGCCGGTCCCGCCTCGGGGTCCCGCAGGCCGCGTGGCTGCGGGCGGCCGGGCGCGGCCCAAGGACACGCAGCTCGGAAGGGGACGCGCCCGGCCAGCGCCCCTCGGCCCGGGCTGCAGGTGCGCGGCCCCGGCGGCCCCATTGTGCGCCCAGCGCCCGGGCCCATTGTGCGGCGGGAGGAGGGGGCCGGCGGGCGCCCATCTGCCGTCTGCCGCGGCCGCTAATAGGCGTGCCGCCCGAGCAGCTGCGCCCCGGCCGCGCGCCCCCGGCCGCGACCCCCGACTCCGGGGGGCGGGCAGGTGGGGAGGCCGCCCGGTGGGTCTGCGGGCCGACGGAGCCACCCCGGCCCGGCCCGGCCAGACCGCCCTCCGCGGCGGGGATGGGAGAGCGCTCGGCCCTGAAAGGGCTGGACAGCGCCTTTCTCCCTCCCCGCTTCCGCTCGGATCGCCTGCGCCACTGCGCTCCCCAGAGGAGCGAAAAGGCTGATCCTGGGCCCCACCGAGGAGGATCAGGCCGCGGGTCCTCCCAGGCCGCTGCGGAGCTGACCCCGGCCGGGCCTGGGGGAGGGAGAAGGGGCTTCCTGGCTGGTCCTGGCTTTCAGGGATCAGCGTGGGTCCCAGCCAGGCGGCCGGTTCCCTCATCTGGCGGATGTTCAGAGTCGCTTTGTGGGAAGCTGGGCTCAGCCATTTTCTTTCTTCTCCCAGGATGGGCCTCTCCTGGCGCACAGAGGTCCGGTTGGCAGGGATCTCCCTGCCGCCCTGGGACGGCCCTGAGACCTGGGGGAGGCAGGGCTGGGCCCAGCGCCGGTGCAGGTGCAGGTGCAGGATGGGGGCCGGGGGGGAGGGGGCAGCTGCTCTAGCCAGGTGCTGCAGGCCGTCCCAGAGCCCCCCAGGGCGGCACGGAGGTGGATGGAGCTGGAAGGTGCTGTGGGGAGGAAAGTGGGCCAGGTCCGGCTCTCCCTCCGGAGGGCAGTGGCTCTGATGCAAGCAGAGCGCGTGAGGCATCTGGGCTGGGGCGGGGGCTGCCCTCCCCCTGTCCAAACCCGGGATAGACAGCCCCCTGTGCCAACTGCTGAAGCACCAAGGGGTCCCTGGCAGCTAGGGCAGTGGCATTGGGAGTAGGGATGGCATGGCCCGGGTTCGAGGAGGAAGAGGAGGAGGTGGCAGACAACCTGGGCTCCACGGAGCTCACACTGCGCATGTGTCCTGGGAGGACGGAACAGCTGTAGTTGGGGAGGGGCCCGGGCAGCACCCGGTGGGAGGCAGTGGGATAACCTTATTATTGTACCAATAAAACGCTATAAGGAAACATCAGCGCGTGAGTGATGACAGGGATGAATTACACCCGGGGCGCGCGCCGGCCTGCGTGGGTAGGAGGCCTGGTCCCCGCGCTCTTCATTGAGTCCTACTGTCACACAGTTAATTATAGGAGGTCTCCCCTGCAATTAACAATAACGAACACAAAGGGTGTGTGTGTGTGTGTGTGTGTGTGTGTGTGTGTGTGTCAACGACACCCCACCATGTGCTGTTTGGAAAAGGGCTCCGGCCCACAAAGCCAGCCACCGCTCCCCTGGCCTCTGCAGGTCCCGTGTCCCTTCCGGCCTCGAGGATGGGAGGGCCGGGTTCCCGGGAGGACTATCGGTGCCTGTCTCCCCCAACCTTCCGTGGAAGGGTCCTCGAGGTTGGTGGACGTGGGCCTCCTTGTGTGCGAGGGCCCGGCCTGGCCACGAGGCTTCCCAAACACCGAGAGCGTGATGTCCCAGGCCCGGCCGTCCACTGGAGGAGACATCAGCCCGAGCCGGGGGCCGGGAGCCCTTGGGGGGGACGGTGCGTGGGCACCTTCCGCCCAGGTGGCTGCTCTCCTCCTCACGGCCGTAGTCACCTCAGTCCTCCTGTCTTTGCCCGAGTCCCGCGAAGTGGGCGCTGTGGCCTGAGGGAGCAGCCGGGCGGTGTGAGGGGCCTTCCATTCCAAGCCAGGGGCTGTGTTGGGAGGTGGGCCCACCGCTCTGCCCCCAAACGCTGCCTTCGGGCATCAGACGAGGGCGGGGGGTGCTGCCTGGTGTGGAGGGCAGGGGAGGGCAGAGCTGCGGCCCTCGGCCCTCCGGACGCTCCTCCTGCGGCCGGCGGGGTCCAGGCCGCCCTGCGGCGTGTTGACGGTGGTGGGCAATACTGTCTGGCTAAGGCGGTGTGGGCTCAGCGAGCGGTTCTGTCACTCAAGTTGGGGTTGGGCTGTGGTCGTGGGATCACCTCCCTCTGCCCCAGCTCCTTGCACGGTGTCCTCGGTGTCCTCGGTGGCCTCTGCAGGCGGCCCATGGAGGCCCCGCTGGCCATTGTGGTTTCTGGTGGCGAGATGGGCTGCAGGGCCTGGTGGGGCAGGCATCGCTGTGCTGGGTGGAGTCCGCTGCCAGGGCTCTGCCTGGCCCCTCCCACATCCGGAAAAGGCTGCTTCGGCCTGGGCGGGAGATGGGAGGCCCCCCAGGCACCACCAGACCCAGGGGGGCACATCACTTAGGCCGTGAGGCCGCCGTCCCTCCAGTCCGAGGAGGTGGAGGAGGGCGCGGTCCTGCCCAAGCCTGGTGGGCTCAGCTCCCGGGGGGTGGGCGTCAGCCAGGAGGACTCCTGGGAGGAGGTGGTAGACCCTGAGAGGAGGGGGGACGGCAGGCTCTGGGAGCTGGGGTCCACGGTAAGTGGTGCAGCCTGCCCGTGGAAACCCTGCTAGTGGGCGGGAGGTGAGAGGGGTGGCTGCGCGGGGCTCAGGGGTCAGTGGCGCCAAAGAGAGGAGACGGGAGTGAGGGGGCCGCCCTGCTGCTCACCTGGCTGGGCTCTCAGGGGGCAGGTGGGCCCGGGGAAGAGCCTGGGCTGCCAGGTCCAGGGTTCTCAGGAGACCTTTGGAGAATCAGTGTGGGGTGCTGGTGGCAGGCAGGCTGGAGGGGAGTCCTGGGGTTGGGGGAGCCGGTGTAGATGGAACAGGTGACTTGGGGAGAGACAGGTGAGAGAGTGAGAGCCTGGCCAGCCCTGGGGTGACCACGGCCAGGAGCTGGAGGGCACTCAGCTCGGAGCAGGGTGGGAAGGCAGAGGCAGCAGAGGACGGGGAGGTACCGGGTGGGGTGGAGGCAGGGTCTGGCTGGGGTCTTGCTGGAGCCCTGGGGGTGCTGAGGCCAAGAGAAGGGGCTGGACTTGGGTACGGGGCGAGTGTGGACAGAGCAGGACACGTGGGTCCACAAACGCTGACCCAGGGGGACCGCCTGTGGCGTCTGACGGCGCCATGGTCAGTGCTGTGTGAGCCCGGCGCCCGCTCCTCTGTGCACCAGGCCGGGCCTCAGTCTGTCCAGCTGCCTTATAAGCCAGGAAACCAGCGCAGGCGCAGTGCTGTGGTCAAGGACAGCAGCTCCTTGGGGACGGGAGGAGAGCACAGTCTGCTCACTGCACGGGCCGGGTTTGAAAGTCCAAGAAAGCAGGACTCTATTCCTAAACGGCGCCGACAGTGCTCCCAGGGAGAGGGCGGAGGTGGGCAAGGCCCGCGCACTGCCTCTCCGCACCCCATCGGGGACTCAGAGTGGACGCCACCGCTCCGGCCCTCCTCCCACAGCGCAGGCTCTCTGCCAGGAACCCTCTGCTGGGGGCAGGGGGCAGCTCTGGGTGGGCTGTCCCTGGCAGTCTCAGGGTGATGGGGCTCATGCCTCCAAGGATGGGCAGCTTCCTGCAGGCAGGGTCTGGTGCAGGCAGAGCCCTCGGACCCGGTTCCCAGAGTGGCCCCTGCCCACCCTGGCCTGCAGTGGCTCTGAGCATCTGTGAGTTGTCACAGGTCCCCCCTGGCTCGCCACTGGCTGTAGAGACAGGCTCTGCAGGGGCCTGTGTCCCAGGAAGGGCCTGCCAGGCGGAGGGCACAGCCCGGGCACAGGTGAGAGCTGCTCTAGCTGTGGGTTCCCCGCAGGAGTCACTGAGGACTGGCATCCCCCTCCTCCCCGCTCCCGGGGCTCCCGGCACGACTCAGGCAGAACCCAGAAGCCTTCCGAGGTCGCCGATGCCCAGCCTCTGCCCTGACAGGTGCCCTGGGCGCAGAGTTGTCAGGGCACGGGCCAGAGCGGCTGCCTCTGACGGCGCACGCACAGGCACCGCCAGGCCGGGCCCTCGCTCTCACATGAAGCCTGCCGACCCCGGCCAGGGCCCCAGGTTCTGACCAAGGGCCATCTGTTCCCAGCAGCCCCCGGGGCTCCCGGTGTGAATGCTGCTGGGCAGGCAGCCACCTGGACGGTGCTGGCGCAGAGGCACAGGGGCCTGGGCCCCTGGAGGACCCGGGTCCCGCCGTCCTTGCTGGCAGCTGATGGCTTGTGGCCCAGCGTGAGTGGCTTGTGTGGACTGGGGCCTCCAGGGTGGCTCCCGGGGCTCCCTCACCGACAGGACCCTCCCTGATGAGCGGGGCGTGTGAGGGCCGTGCCCGCAGGGCACCGGGCTCTCCTGCCGCCCACCCGGCATCTCCCCTGCCCTGTCCCGGGCCCGAGCGCAGGCACCCTCCCCGCCGGGCGCACCTCTCTCTGGTTGTTTCTCCTGTTTGCCGCCCTCGGCGTTTGTCTGTGGGGTGACCTCTGTGCCTGACAGCGTAAGAGGAGGGGGGGATGGGGAGGAGCAGGGAGGACGGGGAGAGGAGGAGAGGGAGGAGGAGGA